AACCCCACACATGGATTGGGTTTTCACATTTAAACCCCTGGAAAAACAACCCCGCCCCCTGTCTGCCCTCCCTCCTGGAAAGAAAACAACAAAAACCCTAGCAACAAGGCGAAAGTGAAAACGATGAATTCCTAATAAAAGCCCCTGTGTTTTTTACCCTTTTTAAAATAAATTATATATAATAAAATTTTTATATATATAAATATATATATATATTTTATAAATATATATTTATATTTATAAGTCGGCCGAAAAATGTAAAACTGGGCCAAATTTGCAAGAAATCATTTAAAATTAAGTATTTTTTTTGAAAGTTTTTTTCTATCGTTTTTTAAAAAATAATTTTTTTTCCCTTAACGTTAATATAAAATTTTTAATTTTGCACCAAAAAATCTTAAAAAAACTTAAAAAACCCAACCTTATTAAAAAGGAAAATTTATTTTTTCCTAACCCCAAAATTTAAAAAAAATTTTTAAATTTCGTTTTTCAATAATTTTAAAACTAAAGAAAAACAAGTGAAAATATTTTTTTTTTTAGGTTTAGAATGATTTTGGGGGAAATTTTTTGCATACACCAAAATTTTTACTTTTCCTTAGGCAAGAAAGAACGTTTCTATTTAAATTTTTCGGGTTTATTTCCCCACCTACCCCTCGGTCTTTTCTTGGAAAATCCCCATCTTCCTTCCTCAGGGCTGTTACCCGGTCCTTTACTGTTTGGTTTTTTCTCCTATGTGGCTTTTACAAAAGCTTTTGGGGCAAACTTGACCTTTCGATGCTATGTCATTTTCATATTGTCGCTTGGAAAAAAAACCCCCCCCCCTTCTTTTCTGGATATTGTTTCTGGCTCTTTGGTAATCTCTTTTTTTCCTGGGGTTCTTTGTCTTTTGTGCCTTTTCCATTCCTTAGTACACCCAGTTTTTTTCCTCCCCCACCTCTGGGTGAACCAAGGGCCGTTTGGCTTTAAAACTATTTTTGTTTTTCCCTTTTGGGGGGAAACCTCTACTCTGCCTCCTTGCATTTTGTTTTCCCCTTTGTCCATCAAATTTTTTGGACTGGTTTTTTCCCGTCAATTCTCTTTTCCCATGAAGTCTTGCAAGAAAATTTCCTCAGCCTCAGGGATCCCCCCTTTTGTGGGTTTTTTTTTTTCCCCCTTCCCATTCCTGCTGCCTTCCACTTGAATCTCAATAAATTAGTCAAAAACAGAAAACCCCATGTCCTATTCCCCCCAGGGGGCCTTTTATACATGTATCCTCAATGTCCGAAATACTCAGGGGAAACTAAGTCCATCTTGCTAGATCTCCTCAACCCCTTTTCTCTGGGATGTCCCCTAACATATTGGTGCATGAAGTTTTCCCCGTACCACATCCATCATCTTTGGTCTCCATTTTCGGGGCCCCCAAAGGGGGGGTCCAGGTTTTCCCATCAAACTCCTTGTTTATTGAAAAACACCCATAACTATAACTTTGTTTCCCCCCCTGTGAGCTCTTCGGCCCCCCTCGGGGTAGTGTTCCCACCATTGCCCCTGTTGCTTCATCGTATTCCCTTTTCTTGGGGCCCCCTTTCAGTTTTGTGGCGGGTTGGGACATTATGCCCAAATTTTCACCTTTTTGGCCCTCAGGGCTGGGTTTTCCCCACTTTAATATCCCTTTTGCCCAAGCAATCCATTCCCCTTTCCTTTTTTCAAAAACCCCCCTGGTTTTTTAATGGCAGTGCCCAAATCCTCCTCCCCCTCTTTCCCCCCTTTCTTTCCTGAGGATTTTTATATCCTTTTTAGGGAAAGATTGCATCTGTTATCATTCTGGTGAGTTATGTTTTTGTGAGAGCTATTATGTCTGGGGATGTCTCCTTGATTCTTTCATGCCACTCCTCACACTTATTTGCTATTCCATCTGCATTTGTATACCACACCTTCAACTTCTTTTCTAAAACTGTGGTCTAGGGGTGCATTGGGGTTAGGGAAGTGGGAGACCTGATAAGGAACTATGGGTTGTTGCTGTGGGGGTGGAGTTTGTAATGCAGTGGGTGGGGACATTGGATATGGCATGGGTGTTTTGGGTTAGAATGTTTGGTTGCACTGAGGTTTTCTTGGTTGGGGGCTTCTGTAGGTAGTTGTGAGGGAGGCTGTATTTGATCTTCTTCCTGAGTCTGGGATCTCCTGTCCATCTCCATCTCTATCTTCTCCTCTCTTTCTTCCTTTCGCCTTTGTACCATCTCTCTCAGTTTCTGCCTTTCTTCTTGTGTTCTGTCGCAGTCGAGATGCACCTTCCGGTATGCCGGCATGTCCCTTAGTTTTGCTTTCTCCTGCAGGATCCTGTTCCTAGTTGATTCTGCCTTCAAAGTCACTTTCACTGGCTGGGTTCTTCTTCTTGCAAACCCCCCTATTCTCCGAAAATTTTCCAGCTGGGTCATGTCATCTCCTATTGCTTTTATGATGCTTTGGATTTCAGTTTTTTCCTTTGTCTTCTTGCTTCATAAGTTTTCCCATGTATCCACTGATTCGATTTAATTTCCTCCATTGCAGCTTTCCTTTCTTCAGTTTCACTATCTATTGTACTTGGGCTCATTGGCCTGTCATTTTCCCTTCTCAGCTTTCCCTGGACTCTGCTGTGGTCTGTTAGGGCCTCCACATATGGCTCAGCTCTTTCATTTACACGTCTCATCTGAAGGGCTTCTACATGCAGTTTTGCTCTATTCCATACAGTCCCCTTGTTTGTGATGGATGGTTCTGATTTGTCATTCCCAAATTGTTCTTTTTAAGTTCTTTAGGCTGTTTCAGATTTTTTTCAGTTATCTTCTAATCTCTTATCCTTAAGCCATCTGCTGCTATGACTTGCATCTCACACCTTTGCTTTCCATCATCTATCCTCTTTCCATAATTCATGCTAAGTTCTTCTAGTTTTAGTGTGTGTGTGTGGAGTGTGTGTGTGTGTGTGTGTGTGTGTGTGTGTGTGTGTGTGGTGTGTTGTTGTGTGTGTGTGTGTGTGAATGTGCGTGTGCATTGATTGGTCTAATTTTTGTCTAATTTTTGTCTAATTTACTATTTTTTCCATGTGTATCAGTAACTACAGCAAGCTGTTGTGTTTACTATTGTCCCGTTCTTACAATAATCTATTCATAATTTAATCTTTTAAAACTGCTTCCTTTTAATTAAATTTATACTATTGGTCAAATCACTCTGGCAAGAGGGAGAATAAATCTGTCTTGTGCTCTATGGCTATATATATAATATATATAATATTTATTTTTTAATAAAAAAATATATATATAAATATATATATATATATATATAGATATATATATATATATATATATATATATATATATATTACTACATATATATATACATTATATAATATATATATAATTTATATATATTATATATATATATTATATTTATATATATATATCTATATATATAACATATCCAACAAATTATGTTTTAACTTCAAAATAGATATAGTTTATGGGTATATAATTTTTTATTATTTTATAATAATGTAACACAGGCAAAGATAACCTAGTACATTATATTTACTTTAACCTCTTATTTAAAAGCCGGCACAAAAAGTGGACTGTCCTTTTGCCTAATCATTGGACGTACATGATCTGCGAAATTCTTCATTTCAAACTCGTAAAATGAAACACCGTTTCTGCAACAAAATTATTGCTCGATATTTTTAAAAGTTATGTACTCCTACAAGTTTTTCCTTCCTACAATGACAAATACATTCCAGAAGCATAAACACAAAGATAATATTCATCTAGCATCAGGAGATCAGAACTGACTCAACATTCACCTAACACAAATAAGACTGAAGGAAGGGCAAGCATCTGCTTAGCGACAACTGTGCGAATGGGAACATTTTAAATGAACTCGTATTTGCTAATTCTCTCTCCTAAACCAAGAGCCCCAAAACCTTGCAAATTTTCCCTTATGCATGGTACTCGTGTTGAATATTTGAGGGCCGATCATAATAGGCCATTCTTAAGTTGTATCAGAAAAACCATAATTACAATTTTTCAATAAAACTTTTAAGCAGAGCGTTGAACTAGGAGAGGGAGGAAGCCACTGTTAAAAAAAAAAATGGTGTAAAAGCAAACCGTAAATATGCTAAAAATTACATTTACGAAATATTGGTAAATTATAGAATTTTGATACAGAAGATTAAGTGTTTACAGGGTTGTCATCAGCTGCAGCCGCATTAGTCTCTTGAGGATGCGGCTGTGTCAGTGTCCGCTGCTTTTACTTGAGAAAAAAACTTTCCCTTATCTTCAGTTCTGCCTTGCAACATTGTATAACTCCTGGATGACGCACTGACAAGTGTGAACAGTATTTGAGGCTAAAGATTCCCCCCCCCCATGCTTGTCTTGCATTGTTAAATCGCCTGTCTACGATTGTTGTATATATTTATGTATAAATTATATATATATTATATATATATATATATATTATATATATATATATATATATATATATTATATATATATATATATATATATATTTTTATATGTATATATTATATATATATAATATATATATATATATATTTATATATATTTATATATATATTATTATATTAATATATATATATTTGTATAATATATATATAATATATATGTTATATATATATATATTATATTTAAATATATTTATATATATATATATATTATATATATATACACGCTGCGGGCGTGGAGGAGGGGAGCCCAGTGTGTGGTGCTCCTACATTGTATGTGTAAACCAAGAAACAACATGGTTTACGGGGCCAGTTTCGGCCAGACATTCATCGTGAGATATCCACGGAAAGATCACAGAATTGTACAATCCTCTGTAATCAGACCGTAGCTTCTGTTCAGTGAATGGTTGCAGTGTTGAATGTGGGATTTGGGGTAGTAGCGGTGGTGAGGGGGTCCTGCCAGTGGAGGTTGTGGAGGAGGTTTTGTTTAATCTGTGACCGGCCAGGGTCGATGGGTTGGGGGAGGAAGTGGCCGCCCACGTACATGGTCATTGGGATGTACAGAAACTTCTTAATAGTGTGAGACATGGTGATTAGTGTGCCAAATGGCGAGGATTTTTTCTAAAATGGAACAATATGTGTTATAAGGAATTTAGCAAAAGGTTAGTCAGTGATGTGCATTCTTGAGCGAACACACAGGGCCACTCCCTCCCCCCATCCCTGATCCCCTTCCCTCATTCCCAGCCTGCGACACTGACTTCTGTACAAGGGGGTTACCGTTTAGAGCCCCCCATTACAAGTTCCCGACCCGCTCGCTACTCCCCCACCTTCATCCCATGCATCCCTGCTGTCCTTCACCCGTCACCCCCACAGCTGGCGCCCCTCACACCCCCACGATATCAAGCAATTGTCACAAAGTAAGTCGCGGGTTCCCAGGAATCTTAACGTCAGAGGTCAAAGTGTGTCCCCACGAGGAATTGCGGGGTGTGCCACAGGGAATGTGCACTCAATCCCCAAACTGGCAACATCCGTGCACTCATTGAATGGTCTAGGTCTAATGAGAACAACCAACCAGCCTCCCCCCAGCAGACAGCACTGACAACTACGTGGACTTCACCTTACAGAGGACCTCAAATCTGCAATCAAATTAACATCCACCAGGACTCTGACACAAATCCAAGGCAGCTCGCCCTCCAAGCTGCTAGCCAAATTCCCTGACTTTGAAGGAAAAGTCAAAACGAGCTCCTTCAAACCAACAGATCTTGGCACAACTTGCATCTTTTTGGCAATGCCTGTTTTGGCTGTCCCACAAGGAGGGTCAAGTCACTAGCACACATGTTATTAGGGCAATTTAAATGCTTTCCAAGGGATGGCAAAACCTCGTCCGTATCTCCCTAGGGTGGACAAACACCCGCCGGGCAAATGCCAACAACAGGACACCGGACGTCTCCAAAAAAATCAGAGCCCATTAGCAAAATATTGGAAAAGAGGGCACACTATTGGGCTCTGAGGATTATAACCCCGTGATATACCATCGTTCCCAAGAACGTAAGCACGGCACAAGCTCTGAAGGACAAAACAGTCCACCAGGCTCCCAGCCAACATTGACCTCCCTGAATTGCAGCAGGCGAAGAACAGTCTAACCTTTACAGGATGCTGATGTGCATAAAGCGGCTACGTCATTTCCACTGGGCTCAGCAGGAGGGGGATTACCGGTTTAAGGCAATTCAACACTTAAATCAAATACTCAATCAGCACTTGTGAGGTTTCAGAGATGCTGCTCTCTGAACTCACCAAAATTTTTCCAACCTGTGCTGGCTGGCAGTGTTCCCGGGAGGCCATCAGACCCCTTTTCTTTGGTGCCTCATTGTGTCCCTCCAGAAAAATGTGGCGGAATCCAGGCCCATTGCAGTGGGTAACAACCCTTCAGCGCCTAGTCGCCAAGGCTGCAGTAAGAAGGGTGGGTCAAGAGTGCTGCAAATGCTGAAACCAACTCAGCTCGGTTTCGGCCGTTCAACATGGGCTTGTGAAGCAGCTGCCACCAGCACGAGAATATATCAAAACATGTCCGATTGAAAATAGCCTTGGTTCAAAAGTGGACTTCGGCCAATGCTTTCAACTCAGGTCAGAAGGGGATGCTGCTCCAAGCAGTTTATAGAAACTTCCCTTCCATTTTATCCCTTTTAGATTTCGTGTTTTAGTGTGACTTCCAAATATTGTTTTGGGGGACCATGAAACTGGACTCATTGAGGGCGTGGCAACCAGGGAGGACCCTCTCGGCCCCCTTTCTATTTTGTTTGGTCATCAAGGAAGGTCACAGAAGCCTCTCCAGCGAGCTCAATATCTGGTTCCTGGGACGTGATTACCCTAGCAGGCCCACAACAGAAGCTATCCTCAGGACATCAGTAAAATTAAAGGACATGGGGAGAAAAGCTGGGCCTATCTTTAAACACCAACAAATATGTGAAGTAGTTTTCTACCAATCAACAGATGATCCAGAATATTAGCGCCGTTTTACCAGGAGTACGAGCCATTGATCCAGCCAATAGCACTCTCCTTGGTCACAATAATCTGCATTAAAAGAGAGAAGCTTACAACGACGTTTCGGTCCGACTTGGACCATTGACAAAGTCACACTAACCAGAAGTGGAGATCCACCACTTCTGGTTAGTGTGGAATTTTGATGAATGGTCCAAGTCGGACCCTAACGTCGTCGTAAGTTCTCTCTTTTATGTGCGGGGTTATTAGTGTATCGTTCCAGGCACAGGTATTGTGCCTTTTTTTGTTACTCTCCTTGGTGCTCCTCTGGGTCAAGGCCATCGATTTTGATCTAGGAAAAAAAGTATCAGACCTCCGGGACGATGGAAGCAGGGATGTTTGAAAGACATGGACACACACGATGCCTTCTACGTACTCACCAGGTGCCTGTCAATCCCAAAACTTACCTTACTTTCTGAGAAGCTCCCCAGTCTTCAGCAGTCAAAAAACTCAAGGGGAATATGACTCTCTACTTAAGGACCATGCTTTAGAGGAGTGTATTGAATCTTTCCCTTGAAGATGGTCAGTGGTTGCGCAAGCTCACTTCCCCGTCAAGCTTGGAGGGCTAGAAGTACGCAGATTCTTCCGATTGCTCTACCTGCGTTCATATCTCTTCCACAGCATCAAACGAGTTGATAAGACAAAGTTCTCCTGATACCTCAGCGACTCAGCAGGAAGGAACAGAAGGACTAGCTATGCTGGTGCCTTCACTGAAGGGGGAGACTCTTGCTGCTCCTGCACCAATCCCTAGTGCGCAGGGCTCACAAAAGTCAAGCTGGATGGCCCCGATCGCTGAAGAAGGTGCTTGCCAACATGTAGGACTGCAACATCTGACAGGGAGATTGCCCGTCTCCTGGTGTGAGCGCACATCACTCGGGGACTTCCTCACAAACGGTTTCCCTATCGGAAATGGGAACGCAAACTCGACCCATAGAGACCTCCGTTATTGAGTGGCTATGCGCCTTGCTTGCACCAATTCACACAGAATATACGTTTGTATTTGCGGCGAAGCGCAAGCAGACCATAGGGTCTACATGGTTTAACTGTTCCAAAACCAAGGGCTGGCATGCAAGGGACATGCAAGGTTCCAGACTCATCGACACAACCAGGGACCGCAAGGCAGCCGCTTTATGTTCCAGCGCCTCGCATAGACATCCAGGGGGAAATGCTTGTTGCTACTTGGCTCTCATCAGCCTCGGGAGGAGATGGATGAAAATTATGTGTTTGATACATTTGTGCCATTGTATTCATGTTTTCTGTTAATTAAAAAATGTTCACATAGAATATAAAATTTATAGGGGGTGGTAGGAGATGAAAATACTCAAACGCTCCGGGGGAGAACCTTAGTTTTCCTGAGGTACGTTTATGTCTTCTCTGAGGATGAGGTTCCCCATTTCAGCTATGTGGTGGTAACCTCCTATTTATATATATCATATATATATATATATTTATATATTATATATATATATTTATATATATTTATATATATATTATATATATATATATATATATATATTTTATTTATATATATTTTAATATATATATATATATATATATATATATACATATATATATATATTATATATGTAGTGCCGAATATGCAGACTTGCGATCTTGGCTTAAAATAGCAATGTTCATTTGCCTTATAGGACAAGTGAAGTTTTTAGTATGCATAAATTTCGCCAAATTCATTATGAACCTAACGAAAAAAAATATTTTCACTGTGTTTGTTTAGTATTTAATTTACTGTAAACAAATCTAAAATATATTTAGTTAGGTTAGGCTGAAATTAAAGTGTTCTTGTTATAATAAGGTTAGGTAAGTTTTCTAGATTCTTTTTGCTGAAAATTTAATTTTTTTACATTAACATTAATGAAAAAAAATATATCTTTAACGTATAAAGAGAAAAATTTCGTTCTTGCTAAACTGACCAGTTTTACATATTCGGCACACGGACATATATATATATTTTATATATATATTATATTATATATATTATATATATATATATATATATATATATATTATATATATTATATATTTTATATATATATTTATATATATATATTATATATATATTATTTATATATATATAATATATTTATATATATATATATATATAATTAGGATGGGGGTTCACCCTCTGGTTTAAATTGTGGGAACCATAGCCTCGGAGAGTGAATAAATGGCTTCAAGGAAGAATATCTGGATTTCTCTGAAGCCGTTGAATATTCCACTTCCCTACCACCCCATTTTTCACATATATATTTTTTTTTACCAGTAGGGAGTATATCATTTACATATATGGTTACAGAAGATTTAAGCGATAACATTGTTGATATAAAGGTTGGCATATAAGGTACATGTTGTTACGGTGTGTATCACGATTATAAGGCGAAATTCTCATCAAGCTCCTCAGAGCTGAGGCGTGGCCCAAAAATACAGCAGGCATTAACCCCTTTGAACAAGCAGCCATGAGATGCTGGAACAGAAAACTAGCTTGCCCTGGGGATTCCCTAGTTACCTGATGAGTCTTTTTTCCAGCTCCTTAAGGAATTTAGATGCAATCTTTCCCCTGAGGCCCACCCAAGGGTCTCTGAGCCTTTATTGGAACAAAACATATAATGAGGCAAGTTCTCCATATTTTAGGACTGTCGGGACTTCCTGAAAGCTGCAGCTGCCCCTCCTTCCTCCCTGGTGTATTGGAGATAAGTATCAGCAAGGTGATGGCACATGTATAGTTCCACACCACCTGCTTCCCATCTGTACAGGCTTGAAGTGCTATAACCATCTGGCGCTTCTGGCTGCCATCAGGATATGCATAGTTGGGTGGCTTCCTTACTGCTGGGCATCCAGCTGTTGTGATTTCCTCTTGATAACGTTATTAACTCCTCATCTCTTGCATTCTTTCCCTCGGATTTACGGCACACAAGTTCGACCATGGTACCCGAATCGGTCTGCTGTTCATTGCCACAAATACACCTATGTTTCGGAGAGAATGGGGGGCGCAAGTCGAAAGGGCAACACCGATGCGGATTGGTTGTGGGTTACGAGGGGGCGTGATGCCAAGGCCGGAGGTGGGAACAGCAACAGAAAGTCCCCAGGCATTCGGGACTTTCAGTACAGGAGGCGGGCTCTATCTTCCCTGAACACACTCTTGAAGCATATGTTGAGGGCCAATATTTTCTAATATTGGACAATCCCAAGCGATTGTTTGTAGTTGTTGGGGGGAGCAGGTCTGGTTTCAGAGCCCTTTAGATTATCCCAGGATCATTTGTCCGTCCAATTAATTTTTTGTCATGGACTCCAATCTCTGTCCTAAGATGTTCAGGGAGATCGCTGCTACAAGCTCTCTGGATGCAATACATGAGGACGGAAAAGCAGGTGGTAACGTAATTTGTGAAGACTTTGCGGGACACCCTTGCCTCCTAGTCTGACTGGAAGTGTAGCTTGGTTCACTTGCCCTTCTTCTAGAGTAAGGTTAAGTACTTTCGTCAAAATCTGCCTCAGAATACTGTCATATTCGTGCAGTAGAGGGTTATCATATGAAGCTGCACATCTTAGGAAATAATGTCAACCTGGGCAGTCTCAAGCACTTTGTTGAGAGGTACAAGGCATTGGGTGTCAGAATTGCCTATTAGTTTGTTCCATTCTCCTTAATCTTCCAATTTCTTCCTTGAGAATTGTGGTCAATGGCATTGCTTCCAGTGGTGCCTCCTAGCAAGGACAACTTTTTGTGGGGGCAATGATGCTGCTCCTGGTAGTTTTGATCTCACTGCATTATCACTTGTTGATGACTGAGATGATTTCACATTTGGCCGGATTCAGGATTGAGCCCATTTCCTGTCCCGTGTCATTAACCTGTGTAAGTTCATGTAGGAGGGACTCCTTTGTACCTGCTAGTGTGCCATCATCTAGGAACCGGATGTTTAGCTCGATGGTCAGTCTGACTGTATAATATTATATATATATATATATATATATATATATTATAGATATTTATATATATATATATATATATATATATATATATTTTATATATATATATATATATATATATATATATAAATAAATATATGTATATATATATATTTATTATATATATATATATATTAAATATATTTAAAAAATTTTTTAAAAAAAATTTAATATATATATATGATATTAAATTATATATATATATATATGTTATTAATTTACCAAACTGCGGTAGGCCGGGTTCGACACCACGACACATTGTCCCGCTCAAGAGACCCACAAATGTACAACGTTACCTTATCCACTCCGCCGTCGATCCTACAAACAACATGAGCCTAGCGAATTAGGCTTCCTTCATGTTGCGAGGACACTATGGCAGTGGTGTTGTTCAAGAATTAATTGCAGCCCTCCTCCTCCTCCATGTTTGAATACCCGCTCAACAAAGTAGGTCTATTTAGCAATGAAAAAAAAACGAAGAAGTTGTTTTTGAAAGCAATTTACAAAACTGCGGCAGTCCAGGGTTCAACCCTGCGGACACATTGTAACCGTCTCAAGAGACCTCACAATGTAAACACGTTACCTTATCCCTCGCCATCGATCATACAAAAAATAAAAAAAACACGTTGAGTCTAGCGAACTAGGCTTGCTCATGTTGCGGAAGGACACTCGTGGCAATGGGATGCTCCAGATTATTTCTGCCAGGTCAGGGTTCGGACGCACGACAGTGGAGTCGTGGGTGTCGAACCCTGATCTGCCGACAGTTTGGTAAATGATTCGAAACCACTTGTTTCGTGGTTTTCATTGCCTAAACAGATTGCTTGTTTGAGGCGGGTATTCAAACAAGAAGGAGACCACTGCAACCTATCATTATCTCCTCATGGACCTTTACTTTTGAAAACCTCTTTAAGTTTCAATCATGCAGATGCATTTGTAATCTTCAGTTGGTTATAAAAAAAAGCATAACCAGGGCGGGATTGTATCCGCGGTCAGAGAGTCTCAAACCCGACCCGGTCGCGTAGGCCACTGGACCAGGACGCGACGGTCTGGAGTTTTGAGGATCTCTGACCGCGTGGAGTTCAAATCCCGCCCGGGGATGGTTTGTTTGCAGTAGTGTCATTACGATTCGTGAGTTTCATTACAGTAGCATAATAAAATTTAATTAGTGAAAACGAAGCAAATGCAAAGACGCTTTATGTTTGTACTTCATTTCACTGAACACTGTTTTTTTTAAGTATTAACTGATAAAAGTGACAGTGGCTCATGTAGTGCGTGGAAGTGGTATTACTTGTGGGGGCTTAAAGTGCTTAGTGTTAGTGAACACTGGCTTGTGGTTTGTGCAAGCAGAGAAGACATGACCTGTGTTATGGGAGAACACAAAAGTAAATCTTCAATGGTATCTCTATATAGAATCTCCATTTGTTCCTGCACTGATGGAAGATGCGATGGACACGTGTTATTAGGGTACAACAAAAGGCAATCATCTTCATTGAAATTTTTCTCATACAGAATTTTCACCATTTTTCCCAAGATAGGTTTCGGAATCATTAGTTTGCCGATTTGAAAACAAGAAATGAGTGGTCCTGCACAAAGTTCTTATCCTATGTCATGTTATACCACCATTCTTTTCTCATCCATTAAATTTCTCTCTGTTTTTATAGAATCCTGACTGTTGTGAAAAAGGAAATAATATTTGAAAACTTAGAGTTATTAGAAAGACAGTAAGTCGAACCCGTCGCATTGTAAAGTGACTATAAAAAGTTTTAGGAAGGTGGGAATGGGGTTTCTGTTTAATGAGTAGACCAGTGTTTTTTTGACCAATGTTTATTTTGGGTAAACCAAGTCGTTTAACTGTTTTGAAAAGGAGATAAAAGTGTTTAATGGTAAAAAGTTTTAATTTGAAAAATGTTTAAGGGTAAGACAAAGTGTTTAATGGAACAAATTTAAAAAAATTTTAAGGAAGGTTAAGTGTGAAATTTTTAAAGTTCCCAATTGTTTAATGTGTAGACCAAATGTGTTTAATGTGTAGACCAAGTGTTTTAATGTGTAACCAAAGGGTTTTAATGTGTAGACCAAGTGTTTAATGTGTAGACCAAGTGTTTAATGTGTCAACCAAGCTTTTAATGTGTAGACCAAGTGTTTAATTGTAGACCAAGTGTTTAATGTGTCAACCAAGTGTTTAATGTGTAGACCAAGTGTTTAATGTGTCCTAACCCAAGTGTTTAATGTGTAAAACCAAGTGTTTAATGTGTTACCAAGTGTTTAATGTGTAGACCAAGTGTTTAATGTGTAGACCAAGTGTTTATTCTAATTGAAGCATGTAAGTAAACAATGTTTGGGTAAAGGTAAGGCAATAATTTGCTGCGTTTATGAACTTAGAAAAGGGATATGAAAAGGGGGACTGAGGAGCAGTGTGGCAGGTGTTACAAATGTATGAAATTGATACGAATTTTCCAAAAGCAGTAAACAAAATTATATGGGTAGTGAGGCTCAGGGTTTGAAAAATGTAGGAGAGGGGAATTACTTCCCAGTAAAAGTACACATTAGACAGGGATGTGAGATATCACTACCGTTGTTTAACCCATTTGTTGATGAGTTGTGAAAGACCTGAATGCTAGAGTGTCGGAAAGAGGTGGCGGGATAAAAATATAAAGAATTTTAAAAAAGTGAGAATTTTGTCAACACACTGTTCTCTTGGGAGATTCTTTGAGATTTTTTTTTTTTTTTGGGGGGGGCACCCACAGTTTGAGAAAAGAGAATGAATATTCTTTAGGGAAGAATGATGAGGTTCCCCCAGAGCTATTCTTTCCATACCCATACACATGTATAAATTATTTTTTGACCTTGTTAGAAATATTCAGTGGAATGAAAATACCATGTACGACATCACAAAACGTAAAAGAATAAAAAGGCACAATACAGTGATGGAACAATACACAAATAACCCGCACATAAGAGAGAAAGAGACTTACGACGACGTTTCAGTCCGACTTGACCATAGGGCACGCACTATCCCATATTTCAATATTCATTCAAAC